GAAGCCGACATTAGCAAGATGGATTCATGACTGAACAAACGTCCACATATTTTTTTCATCTCTGTGGGTAACAATACATAAAAAAAAACATTTTTTTCCTCCGAAAACACGAGTGTGAAAAAAGCTACGGTTTTTAAACCTTCTCTCTGCACCACGTGCAGCAGGAAGGAGGGAGGAACCTGTGATCCTGCGACACGACGGCAAGATGTAACTTTTCTACAGTGGGAGGGGGACATTTTGACGATTTATTCTCTCTTTACGTGTTTTAAAACGCCATATTTCTTCATTTATTTTCAGAATATTCTGAATAAATGGCCCTATAAAAAAATAAAAGAAAATGTTTACCTGCCCGGTCGGGCAGGCATTGGGACACACCCACCTGCCCGACAATGGGTTTTACCTGCCCCGGGCAGTCGGGCGATAGGATTTGTCGAACCCTGGTCTTAAATTTCCTTTCAAATGGCGTTAAAAAGCATTAAAAAGTCTTAAATTTAGCTTGTCTTAAGCTGTAGGAACCCTGTACTCACTAAGTGGTTAAGATGATGACACTTTTGTTGACAAAATGCATAAATACAAGCATTAAGTGAAACATTTATTGCAGTTTATTCAGTTACTTGCAATGTGCCTATTGCATAGGCTGTTATCGCGATGAGGATAAATTTGCGATATATTAAGCAGCCCTAAAGGAATCTGTTTTAACATCAACATTGTCTAAAGTGACACACTGTTCTCCTGACCTGGAAACTCTTGTTCCTCCCCCCGTGAGTTCACTCCATTTATCTTGGTCGGTGTGTACATTCCTCAGAGCGCTGATGCAGAACACACAACTCACACTCTCCAACCACATCCTGTGTGTGAAGCAGACAAACCCRGACTCCTTAGATATCGTCCTTTACAATTTATTTAAATTCTTATTTAAAATTATTTCATGAACTTGGCAATAAACAATTTAGGGTTTGTTTTTTTCACAATTCTTTGGGCACACAACTCCTGCAAGTTTTGGGGGCTTATTGTGTAACAGCAATCTACATTCATGGTCACACTCATCAGCTATTAGTTCAGTAAAAACGAAACTCTGTTTCTGCCAACTGAGACATCTATCTACAACGGATTAGGTATTTATAACCTTTCCACAAAACCCTCCTTTAAATGATCCGAACTATCATTTTAAGTTCAGCCATCCTTTAGAAACAATGGGCTTCATGCAAGAACTGTTCGTACGCACAGATTTGTTCTTAAGTTGTGCGTACGAGTGATTTAGGAGAATTTGTGGCATTCACCAATGTTTTCGTATTCTAAGAT